CTGCAAGTTACAGGAGCCACCTGTGCCTCGCGCAGGACAGGTCCCGCCTACTCTCCTGTCAACCCGCTGCCTAGCAACCACGCCGCTGCCAGCTGAGGAAAAGCTGTCTTATGCCCCGCCCCACTCACCTCCGCGCAGCAACTCCAAAGGCTGCAAACAGCAGGAGCAGCGGGTTTCACTAAGAGGCTCCGCGACAGACTGAAAGGGAAAATGAGGTGCTCTGCCGCCTCCAGTCAATTCTGGCTTCTTTGGAGGCCACTTTCCTTTTCCTCAACTCGATTCTAAAGTCACCGCCCTCCCCGCTACTCTGTGGAGAGAAACTCCTCTCCCAAGCCACTCACAGAGGCAACTTCAGGACAAGCGCGCTATGCTTGCCATGCTTACCCATTGGAGAGCGGAGGATGCGGGAACGCAAGGGCCTTGGAAGGTCCGTCCCCCACCTGAACCTTTCACTCCAAAGGACCCAAATTGCCAATCTGGGGCTGGCGGCTGTGGACGGAACTACTACCGGAAGGAGAAAGCTACATTTCCGGTAGCTTCCAGACAGCCACGCCCAGCCATCTCCCTCCCTCCACGAGACTCGCGTGGAAAAGTCTCGCGACTCTTTTCCATCACGGAGAAACAGGTGTTCTACTCCAGGTTAGCACGGGATGCAAGACCTAATGCCACCAAATTTCCAAGCCTGCTGGAAGCTTAGAGAAGCATCCCTCCCAACTTTGTCTCCAGGGAGACCTGTAGCCTAATGACTCCTAGTATCAAGGTCTTTGATACAAGATTTGAAGTATTGTGCATCCCGATTGTCCCGCCTAGCTTCCCGTCAATAAGTGGCAATTTCTACCCAGAGTCAATGGAAGTGTAGAATTCATAAGGTCAGGTAAGAGCCACCCTAGCACTATGTCTTCCCCAGTTCCAGCCAGAGTTTGAGCAAGTCTTTGGCAAGTCCCTAGAGTTGTCAAAGAAGCTTTTTGCGGGGCAGAGTAGGAATCAAACTCAGAACCTTGCAATTGCCTGGCGGGTTCTTGTGCTGCTGAGCTATACTCGCAGCCCCAAGCAGACTTCTAGAATAAGGCAGTTTGCTCTGGCCCCATGCCTGATGAAGAACAACATTCCTTTCTACTCTTAAAATGATTTTCCATTTTGATGGCATGTCTTTCTGAACTGTTATCTGATTTTATTCTTGTTATTCATGCATGTGCATAGAGAGGGGGAGGTAAAGTCATCCTTTTCAATAAGAAACCACTCCCAAGGCAAGAGTATTAATCCACTTGAGGTCGAGAGTCCTCGTGACCTAATCAAATCTGAAAGATTCCACCTCTCAACATTGTGCAATTGGCATTAAAATTCCCATGTGTGAACTTTGGGGTACAAATTCAAACCACAGCAGAGTACATTTTATAAAACAATTATCAGTATCACCAAGCTCCAGTATTCCCTGAAGCAGTTTGGGAAATATGGTCATATAAGTTAAGGTGGCATAACATGATATTTGGAGTTAGGCACAGATGGGAAGTGGTGAAATTCCTTAACACTAGACAGAGGAACCCCAAAGATAATTTCTCCTCCCATCTGTGTTTTGACCACCACTTGGCTGTTCATGCTCTGAATCTTCCCCTTGAGTTTCTCCCTGGAGATACTGTGTCAATGAGTTTTAGCCTGTATCCATTACATCTTAGCCTATCTTGCTGTAAATAGGGATGAGGCCTGGTCTAATCCAACTCTTTTTAGTTTATCCAGAGGGGAAACAGCTGGGGTCCTGCAACTATAGAGAAGACCCCAGCACTTACATGAGTCACAAAAACTGCAGCTGGAAGTTCTCATACCTCCTAGGCATTTCATCAATTAACAATGATGTCTGGGACTAAAGAATATTTGTAGGTTGGATTCATTTGTTAAGTCCAACACAGAGAGTCTTATCCTTCTTTGACACAAATATACAATATAAAGCATAAAAACCAAAACACACAAAATTACTGTAAACAAACTACGTTTACAATTACCTTAAAATGCTGATTACAGTACAGCACAACTGTAAATGGTGGTACAGTACAGTACAAATTGTATGGAACAAGCGACATCTACCGTCTTCTTGCCTCAATCCAAACCCTCAATTATTTTTAATTTTCTCCCCATGATTAGTGCTTTTGCACATCCTACCAGTCCTCCCCACATAGCTCCTCTGCATTTCATCAATTATCAGTGATTTCTGGGACTGCAGAATATTTGTAAGTTGGATTCATTTGTTAAGTCCAACACAGTGAGTCTTATCCTTCTTTGACACAAATATACAATATAAAGCATAAAAACCAATGCAGAATAATTACTGTAAATAATCTACATTTGCAACTACCTTAAAATGCTGATTACAGTACAGTACAATGGTAAATGGTGGTACAGTACAGTATAACTGTGAAGAACAAGCAACGTCTACTATCTTCTTGCCTCAGTCCTAACTTTGAATTACTTTTAATTTTTCCCCCATGGTTATTTTTTCTGCACTTCCTAGCATTCCTCTCCACATCACCACTGCTTTTCCTGATGCTCCCACAAATCCTGGGCTAGCCCAGAATGGTGGGCCATCACCCGGGAAGCTGAGGCAGGGGATCGCTGTGAGTGCAAGACCAGCCTGTACTACACAGCGAGACTCTGTCTCAGAAAAAAATAGACTTACTGGGCTCTTATTGAGCACTGTACTACTGTACACTAACACACTGTATGCTACTACATAGCAGCACAACCGTGTCATTTGCCAGCAGACACATGAGCTACTTCCATGACTTGTTCGTGTCTAGGAATATTCATAATATGCTGTCATTCCTATTTGTGAAAGTTTGCAACTTGAATGTTCATAAGTAGGGGACTCACTGCATTCTTCCCTGGTGAATAAACTTAAGCACAGCAAAGTGGGAATGTTCTCCAAGAGCATCACTAGACTTGAGGCTATCAAAAGAAGAATGGATCAAGCAAGCCTGCTCTGTTTGTGAGGGCAAAAAGGCCTACACTGGGACTCCTGTATTCTCATCTTCTTGAGTGTAGCTGTTTCTTGGTGAATAAGTTCAGGAGCTAAAAGAAGCAAATTACTGAGACTTGCAAAAACTCAAGTGGATTTCAACATTACACTGAGGGAAAAGAGGTGAATATTAAAGGCTACATATTATAATATTTACTTATGAGCTTTTGTGAAGAGACAAACTACAGATAAAAATCATTTTAGATGATGCCTGGGGGTAACAGCAGGAGTCTGACAAAAAGTATTCAGGAAGGTACTCACTGGAAAGAGAAAAACTTTAAATATTTTGATTATGGTGGTGCTACCTGGCTGTATGCATTTGTCAAAAGTCTTGAACTTGGGCAGGAAATATAGCTCAGGACCAGAGTGCTAACCTAGCATGCACAAGGCCGTGCATTCACTTCCTAGTACTACAAGGAAAGCATTGAATGTTACATGTAAGAAGTGTGAAATGTATTGAATGTACATTGTACATCAATCAACTTGACTTAAAAAGTACATGAAGTCCATAATCCACAAAAGACCTCCCCATCCCTATCTCAGCCCTTCTGAACCGAAATTTAGTCCCATGATCACACCACCAAAGGTTCCAGCTTTGTTTGGCTTGAGTCACCACAAAGTTGTTGTCACACAGTTTCTGCAAGTCTGGAATTTGGGCTTGATTTAAAAGGGCCCTCTGCTTGGGATCTAACAATCCTGAAGTCAAGAAATTAGTCAAAATTAAGAAATCGTGTTTTCATCGTGAACCTCAACTTCAGAAGAATACAGTTCTATCATCATTTGGATCATTGAAAGAATTCATTTACCCTCACGTGTAAGGCTGGGGATCCTGGCTTCTTGTTAGCTGTTGGCAAGAAATTGCACTTTCCTCTAGAGGCTTCCCAAAGTTCTTGGAAGCCACTTGTATTCCTAGCAAGATGGGCTTTCCTACCATGTCCCTTATTTCATTAAGAGAGACTCATATCTGTTGACAGGATGGACTGAGATGAATCTCAACATAATCACACTTTCAGTTATGGCATCTCATCACTTTTGCCATGTTCTTTTGGGTAGAAGCAAGTCATAGGTCCCATTCACATTTAGCATGATAGGGATTCCATGATGATATGAACACCAGGAGATGGGGTGGAAAGGAGGAAAGTTAGAGTCCGCCCACCAAAGAGAGACAGGATAGAAGTTAATGTAGTTCCCACTCACCCCTTGAGGGTGCTTAACACAACTTGCCTTACACTTACCAAGCTCCTGGCTTCATCCCTCTAAACTGGGCACCTCTCACTGCCACTTAAATCTTCTAGGGGAGTTATGGGGAGATGATACTCTGGCTTTAAGTACTCTGAACATTGGAGCCTAACAATACACAGAATTTGCAACTTTGTGACCCTGTGGCCACCTTAAATAAAAAATAACCTTGTATCATACAGACCTGAGCTGAGGGAAGACACCTTATGGGAGGAGGGCAGTAGAGCTGGGTTTTGCAAGCTTCATCAGTGCCAGATGTTATATGATTACTGCTCAGCCATCCGAAGCTTGAGAAGAGTCACCTTTAGTCACAAATAGTGGAGTGAGTGCTGGAATGGAGTCAGCTTAATGTTAATACACCAAGTGTGAATGTTTATTGTTAGTACCTGCTCACATAGACACTTTACACCTTAAAAGTTCTTGTCATGAAAAATAGCATTGCAGAGAATCCTTAGCCAATGGGGCACACATTATATAGAACATTATGCCTACCCAGGGTATAGGTGAACATACTTAGGTGACAATGGCTCAGAGTCAATATGAGACATGTTGTATAACAAAAGACAGATGAGTAAAAGAGATATAAATAAATTTACAGCCTCTCTAGTAGAACAACTTTAGTATGAATCTTTTCCCCATAAATCTTTGAGTGAACTCCCACTTCTTCAAACTCAGAGAAGGAAATGTTCTGTTACTATTTTAAGTCTCTGTGTCAGGTGTATATTTGCCTGAAATACATGGGATTCTTACAGAGAAGAATGGATTGTGGAGGCTACACAGATGAAATTCCAGAAAAGAATGATCATCATCAAGAATAAAGCCGTAGGAAAGCATTCAACATTTGCAATGTTTCATCATCACTTAATGCACAGTTTGGATAGATTTTCAGGGTGCTAGTCACTAGAATATGGAATACAATAAGTGCAAGCTGAGATTTCAGAGATAGAAAGTGAAAAATTATTTCAGGACACCTGAGTTTGACCAAAGATAAACTACAGTTGAAAATAGGTTATGTATGAAAGAAGTTTAGCATCATGGCTGGGTAAAAATGTAGATTTAATATTTGAGTAAAGTGAGATATAAGGCCACATGTGTGAAAGTTGAATAAAGCTGATCTCAATGCATAAAGGGCTTCAGAACTACATGAAGACTTGAATTTTAAAATACAAGTGAGGGTATGAATGTGTTTCTTAGTCATTAAAAAGTCTAAATGCATAATCTGACTTAGATTCCTGTAAGTGTTTACCTAGATTT